GGGGATTTTGTTTTTTTTAAAACCCCCCTGCCACAATGTTGAATATGTGGACGGGTGTTCTTTTTTTTTAACGGTTAAGAACTAACCGGCAGCGCATGTTAAGCGCAGACTTATCCTTGCTTAGGTTTCAGGATAGAATACCCCAGAATCGAACTATGGTGTCCCCTGATTCTGGAAAGGAAGAATTTTATATTCTATTTCCAGTGAAGAAGAAACTAAAAGTGGGGTGTCCACTCCGAGAGTCTGGAAAATTTAGATAAACTTGCCTTTTATAGGATGGGTTATCTAAACTGAAAATTGGTTCTTCGTTTATCGAAGTGGTATTTCAACTTTGGCTATAACCATGGGAAGGCTTGACCAAAGAGAAAGGGAAGGGAGTTCTTTCGTTTATCGAAAGGGGACTCCGAAATGAAAATGGACTTCTTGTCTATGGAAAGAGTCAAGAGGGCCAGATGGACACTTTTGGTGAGCCCACTGTCAATTGAAATTGATCAGTGAGGGATTTTGGTGGAGACAATGATTTTGGGTTATCCTCTAGAATATTAAGTGTAATATTCTTCAAGGAACTTCCCGGTAAACGAGTTATCCTGAATGTACTAGGGATAGTACTTTTTCAGGAACTTCCCATTTATTGGCATTAATTGCCTGGCGCCCTCTTGAGTAATCAGGCGATATGCGCCGTTTGAATAGACTGTGTCTATTACAAACGGTCCTTCCCATTTGGGTTCGAATTTACCTTTCTTCTTGGAGGTGAGAATTATTGGTCGGCGAGCAGCGAGGACCAGATCTCCTTCCTTGAAGCTTCTCTGTCGGACTCTTTTGTTAAAAGCCCTAGACATCCTGGCCTGATAGAACTCAATTTGTTGTTGAGCTTCCAAGCGCCTTTCACCCAGCCTCTCAAGCTCTTCGAGACGCTTCTGATGCTGTTCTTCTGTCGTCATCTCTGTTGCGAGGGCGATCCGAAGGGATGGAATCTGAATTTCCAGCGGTAGCACGGCTTCACATCCGTACACCAGCGAATACGGGGTGGCACCTGTGGGCGTGCGTATAGTGGTGCGATAAGCCCAGAGTGCTTCACCAAGTTTGTCATCCCAGTCTCGTTTATTGGTCTTCACGAGCTTGGACAGGATCTTAATGATCGTCTTGTTAAACGCCTCCGCTAATCCATTCGCGGCGGGGTAATAAGCTGTCGACGAAACATCTTCGATTTTGAACTTGTCGCAGAATCTGACGAAGGCATTGCTTATGAACTGTGGACCGTTGTCATGAATGATCCTTCTTGGCACGCCGTGTCGGTAAATGACATGATGCTTGATGAAATTGATGACGTTGTTCGTCTTCACTTCTCTAAGCGGAATCGCTTCAGCCCACTTTGAGAAATAATCTGTGATCGCGAGGATGAACCGATCACCTTTGACTGAAGGGGGAAAAATAGGACCGACTATGTCCATGCCCCAAGTCTCGAACGGCCAAGACGTGGTTGACGTGTGCAACTGCTCTGGCGGTTGATGCATATAATTCGCATGTATCT